GATGAGACATCTAATAAAACGGTTTTCATTGTGAAATAAAATTGCCGATGTTTGAAAAAAAATTGCTGTGTCAGAGTGCGACACTGAGTGGCAGATTTTTCTTTGCCTCGTCTGTCAACGCTTTCTTTCTTTTCTTCGCCATTGCGTTAGAAAAAAAATGTATTAGTAAAATAGAATATTGACTTGGAAAATAAAACGATTTAAAAGAAAGTTGTGCAAAGTTACAGTACTCCTTTCGCACAACCTCCCGCCCGCTTCCGCTTTCCAATCACCTTTTTCTCTCGCTTTTGCGACCGCTTGTTGAATTCGACCGGACAATTTCCGCTTTTTTTCGACCGCGCAAACCCCGAAATATCACCGCCCACCTGCTCGCTCGCGCGCATTTAAAATTCGGACTAACAGAATAATTTCCGAGGTTCACGTTAGATAAACACGCATTGTTTGCAACTGGAAGCTTATCACCCGTTATATCAGAATCGTCAACAACAGAGTATACAGATAAGATGTTATCATTTAATTCCTTCCAAAGATAAACACTATGCAAATATCCACGAAACGGCAGTTGTAGTCTTTTCTGCTAGTGTTTTAAAACACTAATTTGAGCAACGTTATTGCGCAATTTCGATCTTTTGTAAACCTGGGGTGATGTATCAAGGTCTAAAGTAACCGTTTTATAAATTTTTGAAAAATCAAGAAAAAAGTGAAAATTTCCCTTCTCGCTACCTTAAATAGCAATAAAAGACAGTTAAAATGTATTCTCATATTTATTTCCAAACACAAATACAAACATGTCTTGGCTTTAGCTAAACATTCCAGTCATAAATTACTTTTCGATCTAGCTACAACATAATATGTCACTTCCATCGCCAATGGCCTACAGCCTTATTATTTGAAATCATGGGGTGGCTAGAAGATTTGTTCAAAAAATTAAATTGCAAGCTAGACACGAAAAGAAAAAAAGTTACATGCAAAGTGTTGAAGAAAAGTAAGACTGGCACATTAAAAAAAAAAAAATATGTACAGATGACACCATGACAAAACATTTGAACCAGTCACACTCTTCCAACCAACCCCATGATTCCAAAAGGTTAACCCTTAGTGCATTTTTAAGCATATTCAGACAATTTCGATTAGTTACATTAGAAACCGAAAAACAATTTTTCATCAAGTTTTCTTCTTTGTATCCTTTGCCAAGTGGTTGGCTTTGCCTTAAGAGAATTATGGCAGTATTTAGCTGCAGTGGAGAAAATTAGGGAGTATGGACTTTTTACCATAATAATTATTATAACATGGTTAGTCTGAGTTTAGCCATCCTGATTGGCTAAAGCAGGGTCTTGTATGTGGCACAAGAACACATGTGATCCTTCCCCAAAACTGAATAAACTAGCTTAAAAATGTAATTGAATCAAGATCACATGACTGTGAGCACTGGTACAAGTATACAGTATTAATAATCATTATTACCAAAAATGTTTGCACATTTTGTTAGAAAACTTTCTGTGAGAATCATGTACGTATTAGAAAGAAACAGGCATTAACAAACTATTAGGTGTTTTTAAATAAAAACATGGCTCTGCATCACCCCTTATGATAGTAGTATATTCCAAAAAAATACAATGAGAGAACTATGAATTTACACATAGCAACATAATATCAAATACTAGTATATAGCGTAGTTCTTGTGTGAGCGTGTTATAATGGTGTTATGAATGTTTTTTTATCTCCAAATATGCCAACTGTCCCGAGAAAGGTCTTATTCTCGCTAAAAAACTTCTAAATAATACATACCCAGGAAGATAGAACCTGACAGCAGTAGATCATGAAAGCTGGACTTTTCAGGTATTTAATACAGCCAGCAGCCCTGTAAGATGCTATGATTAAAAAAAATAACAAAATATTTAGCATCAAAATTAGTGAAACGGCACCACACCTAATCTAATGTTAGCGAGTGTGTTGTGTTTTTCAATGAAAATTATTGTATAAATCTATTTCTGTAAATGTTCAGGATAAAATATATAGGCATGTTGTTGGTCATCTCATGTGAAAAATGAGAAGAGACAGCTTTTTTTTTTTTGGAAAGATAGATTGATAATATGTACAAAGTAAGATATATATTATAAATAATAGAAACAATTATGTAGAAGAAATCTCAAAATACCTTTAGAGTTTGAAAATTATGCACTGTCTGTCGATAAGGATGCCACCATTTTGACTATTGTTTAACAGAAAGGGAGACCGCGCATTCATGGCAAAATATTTTCAGAAATGTTTTTTGATAATAAGGCCAGACTTTTATTATCTCTTGTTTTGCAAACCAAATGAACAGGAGCCGAAAATGAAATAAAATTTTATTTCAGCGTAATTGTAAGTGCTAAAAATTACTGAAAAAAAAATAATTTTTATCTTCATTTTTTTTCTGCCCGCCGCATAACAAATCCAAGTTGCATTTTCATGAGAGTATCATGATCAAAGTACCGAAGTCTCGCGCAGATGAGAAACAAGATTATACATGGAATAAAATTTTATTTCATTTCTTCTCTCCGATCAATGATCTCACTTACAATTCTTTGAGAATCACACAAATCTAATGGAAAAAAAGAATTTCTTTTTTCGCCCCCTTCAAAAAATATGCCTTATAAAAACTCAAGAAACAAGAAATAAAAAAAGTCTGGCCTAAGGCTATCTAGCATTTTCAGACAATGGCTGGACAATATTATATCATACATAGATTTGGTTGTTATTTTTTAACTATGCAATACTAATTCCAATCTGATATTCAAATTTTGTATTTGATCTTTCTAAAAAATCACAATGTGTGTTGATACTGTTGGCATGCCCTCATTGCTGACTGTGTAGCATTAACAAAAGTCTGATCAATGTATGATGTACTGTAAAAGGGGTAATTATTCACTGGGTTTTAATTTTGCTTATTTTCGCTGACTGGAAAATGTGCTAAATTAAAACCCAGTGAATATGTAAAATTATGCATAGAACACATTATCTAAATGATAAAACCGTGAATTTAAAACCCACTGAATATGCCTGAAATGGTAAATCAGCGAAATTTAAACCCAGTAAAAATGAGTCATTTTACAGTATCTGGTACTAAGTAGTCTAGTTGGATAATGCAACTCAGCAGGTACTGTACGGGGCATATTCAGTATATATATCCCACATTTTCTCTATCGGTCAAAAAGATCTATTGGTTTTTAGTCCTACACAAAATCAGTTAGCTCAACTCACTGTGAACTAATAACTTTCGCCGTCTGCATTTCATACTCTTCATCAGTTCTATTTTTAGTGAATTGATAAACAACTCGACCGTGCTCGCTCGTCAATCATTGCATGATACATAATGGGGGGGGGGGGGGGGGGCAAGGGTTATTTTCGTTCAACGTAATTGCAATAATTTTTTGTTCGTACTACGTAAATTGAAAAAATAAATTCCGTAATTCTGTAATCACAGG